GGCACTTGACTGCTAACCAGAAGGATGGCAGTTCAAATCCACCAGCCACTCCTCAGAAGGAAGATGGGGCAATCTACTTCTGTAGTGATACTGCCTCGGAAACCCAAGGAGGGGTTGCTATGCGTCGGGTCCAACTCAATAGCACATAACAACAACAACATGTTCTTTATATTTTTCAACAATAAAAATTTTTTATAAAATGAAAATAAGTATAAGGACCTTAGATTTAACAATAGATTCTTAGATATTACAATAAAAAAAAGCACAAGCAATTAAAGAAAAATTATAAATTTCACTTCATAAAAATCAAAATTAAAAACTTTTGCACATCAAAGGACACTATTAAGAAAGTTAAAAAAAAAAAAACGTGAAATTGAAGAAAATATTTGCAAATCATATCTCCGATAGGAGTTTAATACCAAAATGTATAAAGCACTCCTACAACTCAACAAACACTGTTGTTGTTATTGTTATGTGCCCTCGAGTAGGACCCAACTCATAGCAACCCCTCCTTGGGTTTCCGAGGCAGTATCACTACAGAAGTAGATTGTCCCATCTTCCTTCCAAGGAGTGGCTGGTGGGTTTGAACCGTCAGCTTTCTGGTTAGCAGTCAAGTGCCTTAGGCACTATGCTACCAGAGCTCCACAACAAACACTAGGATGGCTTAATAAAAAGAAGGAAAGAAAGAATGGAAAACAACTGTTAATGACACGTATTTAGAGAAATTGGAAACCTCATGCATTGCTGCAGTGAATGTAAAATGTCACAGCAACTGTGGAAAACAGTTTGAGGTTCTTCCAAAGTTAAATATAACATTACCAAAAGACCCAGCAATTTTATTACTATATACACACACACAAAAAAAAAAAAAAACAGGGATTCAAAAATATATGTGTACACTAATGTGTACTGCAGCATTATTCACAATATTCAAAAGGTGTAAACAACCCAAATGTCCATCAACAAATGAATGCATAAACAAAATGCAGTTCCAACTCATAGTGACCCCACAGGACAGAGTACAAGGGTTTCCTAGGCTGTAATCTTTATAGAAGCAGACTCCACATCTTTCTCCAACAGAGTGGCTAGTGGGTGCAAACTACTAACCTTCTGATTAGCAGCTGAGCATTTAACCACTGCACCACCAGGGCTCCTAATGGACTATTACTGTGACAAAAAAAAAAAAAAAGAATAAAGACTGATACATGCTACAGTGTCTATGGACTTTGAGACAATGCTAAGTGAAATAAACCAGACACAAAAAGAGAAACACTATATGATTCCACTTACATGTCATATCCAGAATAGGCAAATCCAGAGAGATGGAAAATAAATCAGAGCTTGATAGGAGCTGGGGGGCAGAGAGAAATGGGGAATTTTTGCCTAGTGGGTACAGTTTTGAGTGATGAAAATTTTTGAAAATAGATAGTGGTGATGGTTGTTCAACATGGTGAATGTAATTAATGTCACTGAATTGTATGCTTAAAAATGGTTAAAATAAATGTTTTTGTTATGTACATTTTGCCACAATAAAAAAGGTCTAAAATTCTTTTTTTTTTTAATGTATCTTTGAAATCAAATAAAGTCTACAGATACCCCTCATACTAAGCCAAAGAGCTGCTAACAAACATCAGACACTGACTTGCAGGTACCATCACTGATTAGTGAGGCAGCATTACTATCACTTTAGCTTTTAATATCCTCTGCCTAGGAGGATCATATTTATATCCATTATACATTTTTCCATAACATTTATAACATCCCTATGGACTTCTGGAAAAAATGTCCATGGAAATTTTCTATTATTTGGAGAAACTTCTATAATCTCTGAGGATAAACATGATGGAAAGAGACAACAGACAAACACCAGAAATCCACGTATTCCAGCTCTTGTCTTTGTCAGTCCACTTGGGTCTCCATTCACTGTTTCCTATCACTCCCAGGATTGTTTGTAAGTTTTTGTTGTTGTTGTTGTTATGTACCGTCGAGTCACACCTGACTCATAGTGACCCCTCCTTGGGTTTCCGAGGCAGTATCACTACGGAAGTAGATTGCCCCATCTTCCTTCCGAGGAGTGGCTGGTGGTGTTTGTAAGTATTATTCATATTATCTATGAAGATGAAATGGACACAGCACATCCATATCTCAAGTGTGCCTGAATCATCCAAATAAATACTGGGCAGTAAATGAGGTGGCACGGGGGAGGGAGTGGGGAAGATGGTGTGAACACCATGGTGCTGCTTTGGGTTCAGAACACACTTTCCCAAACCGTGAAGTAGAGTGGAAAACTGGCATGAGTAAACAATAATTTCTCTTTTGGCTCTTACTGAGTGCTGTACTGAGACTGTTTCTTTTCTAAAACTTTAACTGGCATCATGATTAGTAAGCAAGTGTTATATAGTGTTTATTCTTTTATCAAGATGGAGCAGTTGGAATATTCCAATACATGTAAATATTCAACCTATACTGCTCTCACACTACTTTGCTATTCTTCACATTAAAATTTTGTGAGAAGATATTAAACATAAGCCCCATATAAGATACAATAAACAGAGAAGAATGGTTGCATATAATCCATGATGTCTTATCTTTTGTCTGCACCCAGTAGGGAACATTAGACACCTAATAAATGATGTTGTTGTTGTTGTTGTTGTTTGCCATCGAGTCAGCCCCGACTCATAGCGACCCCTCCTTGGGTTTCCGAGGCAGTATCACTACGGAAGTAGGATTGCCCAACCTAACCATGGATATTGTGTTTCTACTACAAGTCATCTGATATTTAGTCATACATTAATTTATATATTACAAACAGAAACAAAAAAATATATGCTCAGACAATAAAAGAACAGACAGCTAAACTATCAGCAAAATTTACTGATCTGAGTTATATTTCTAGTAATTATTTATCGGAGGTTTTTTTCTTAAAGATAAAATATGTGTGTCATTAACCCTAAACCAAAGAGCTAATAAAAGTAGGGCAAACAGGATACCACAAGTAGTTCTAAGCTTACCAACAAAATAATAATGCTGGAAATAATTATATTCTTTCTCTAAATTCATTATAGTCTGTTAATTTACAAATAGTACTAATAGCAATTTGATGTTATATAACAATCTGTATAGAGAGTAAACTACAAATTAGTAATATTAGGCTCATTTACATTAAATAATCAAAGAACTATTGCTAAATCTCCTGTCCTCATATTTTATTTATTCTCATGACAACTGACTAAATGAAACACACACGTTGATGTCACATTAACTTTATTTCTAAACAAAATTAGTATTAAGTATCTGATCAATTCAGCCCTAACCTTCTATAGGGAAAGAGAGAAAATATATTTGTATGACCTAACAAAATTATTTTACTACTAAACTTAGTACAAAACTATATTTAGGTTTAATTCTATATCTAAAGCCAACTCTCCACACTGCGTACACTGAAGATAGGATTTATATTTTTCACATCTTGCCTAATTCAATTTGCAAAGTCACATCAAGCAATTAAAAAAAAAATTAACATTTAAAACCACATAACTTCCCCCAAAATATTTCCGCCCAGAACCAACTCTACATAAAATAGATCCAGTTATTTCAATCAATGTAGAAATGCACTAGTAATACTTTAGGCTCAAATGGATCATTCTCCTGGTTTATCTACTCGGAATGCTTTAAAACTAAAAGATGCAACTAATCCCCAATTTCTCTTTCCCTTCACACTGTGCTGTCCCAGACATACATTAACTGCATTCACAGGTAGACAATACAGTACTGTCTGCAAGGCTAGAGAAAAAGCAGCTAGTATTCCCCATGAGGATGCCCACACACCTTCTCATTAAAGCAGTAACAATTACTCCCTCAACCACATATTTATCATCCCCTTTTAATGACACTGAGCCACAGAGAGGGAAAGTTTTAATTCAGTACAGGTCAAAGCAGTGCATAGCTTTTATAAATAATCAGCTCTGATCCTCCAGCTGAAGCAACAAATGCAAACTCATTCTGGACTCTTCAGTGGGTTCATGCAAATCTAAATCTCAACAACTGTCTTGGTTCAGGGTATGATTTCTTTTTCATCATTGCTAATATAAATCAAAGAAATCTTGCGCCATAAACACTCCAAACAATGTGTTAAATAAAAATGACCCCACAATAAAAAGCTGTGGAAATGAATGCTGCAGTTCAATTAACAATACTTCTTCCTTAAATTTTGTAAGATTGTTTGATTAAAACCAGAGTGAAGTTACCCAAGCAACTACTCTGAAGCACACACAATATTCAAATGCATTTTTATCACAGTAGCTCAATGTCTAGAAGTTTGTTGCTGATAGCATTGCTATAAAATGCATAAAGCTGTCAGATCTGTTTATGGGGGAAAAAAAGTTTAAAAAAAAAAAACCTCTAAAATATGAAGGTTTCTTTAATGAGCACATGGCACTAGAAGATAAACATCCATAATGAAAGTCGTAGAAATAACACAAAGGAAAAATAATTTATGATTTAACAAAACAGAACAGGAAAACTACAATTACTCAGTCAGAAGTAAAATCATTTAACCACTCATATGGTCACGGAGAAACAGTCACTCTTGCCACAGAGCAGTGGAGCAGTCTATTTTCATTTCTAAAATGTAACACACTGCGTAATACTAAATGTTTATGGGTAAGTATAAAACAACTTCTTAAAAATTATTATGGATGCTATTAAGTCATGTGTGTAACAAAATAATGCACAGCTTGCTACTATTACTGAGGGCAGATTAAACCATGGAAAATCAACAGGAAAGTTTGAGGACAAAGTATGATTAGCCTCATTTATTTCACTGGGTTTCTGCATATATTTATCATTTGAGAATCACAGATTATCCTCCAGTATAGTGTGGAGTCATTGGTTCACTGGGCATCCAACACAGCCATAAAGTGTATTTATAGTCTAATATTACAAGAAAATTTTAAAGAACAGAAGTTTCCCTATTGCCAAGAAAGTGAAGAAATCCTTACCTTTCTGTACACCAGCATGTTGGGTGATTCATCTGCCACCCCGTTGCTGGTCTGACCATAATTATTCCCCTGGGCCATGTCCCCGCAAGCTCACTCACTCTCCGATACAGGAATTATCAGTCTGCCCTGCAAAGGGTTAGAAATACTTCAGTGAGACCCTAGTGGTGGTGCTTGAAGGGGTTAACGCTTTGATTCCTCTTCATCATTCACAACACCCCACAGGAGCAGGCTTGCACGCTGGGGCTGGCTGGAGGAAGTGGCACAGGATATAGATCTAAATAACAAAAACAACAACAACAAAAAGAACTGAGCTTACACCTACAATACCCCCAGATAATTTTAAGAAATCTCAATCTTCTAGTCTTTTGGCTATGGACTTAATTGGCTCAGTTTTCTAGATACTCATTTTTAAAAGTGTTTGATGCTCACCATAAAAACACACAGTTATCATATCTGTACTATGGAGGGTTCTCTGCTCCCCCAATACTTCCATCTCCACTTGATGCCGTTTTCCCAAAAGGGCGGAAGGCAACACCCTGGGCCAACAGACTTTCCCTCAGGTGTCTGTCTCCTTTCACTACAGGCAGGCGAATCGGAAAGACCGGTGCCCCGAGTCCTTCTCCCACACATTTATTTCCTCTTTATTCCCTTGGGTCTCCCACATACCCAGGGTATGCTTCCCCTACTTCCACCTGCCTGTACCGCCAGCCACTGGCCCCGCTCCTCTAACCACTCCGCTTAGGAAGCGAAGACGCATTCCAGGCTAATCTTTGCAAGAAGGCACGGGAATGTGTCCCAGAAACAAGAACTAGCGGGGAAAAAACCCTTCAGGCAATTACTTGGGTCACTACGGTGGAAAGCTAAGTGCAGAAGCCTCAGAGCACTCGGCTGAAACAGGAGAAAACAGCCCAGCCCCGGATCCTCTCGCTTGACTCTCAGAGAGGCAGCAAATGGCAGGCGGGCCGGTGCCCCGCACCGCCGACAGAGCCCGCAGCGATGTTAACCCGGTGGAGTGCCAAGTGAGCGGCGCCCGCAGCGCAAGCCGGCGCGGAGCTCGGGAGGCGGCAGCCCCTGCGCCGGTCACGCTCCCGCGGCGCAGAGCGGGGGTGGGTGTGGGGCGGAAGCAGGAGGTCACCGGAGGCTCTTCCTCCTCCCCTCCCGCCTCCTCTATTTACCTCCTCGGCCAAGGTCACGGCCCCGCGGCGTCACCTCTCCCGGCGGGCTGGGTACTGTCGGTGTCAGCTGGCGGCAAGCGGAGGAGCGCCGCAGGGAAGCTTCATCACACTCCGCTGATGCGGATTCCGCGCCGCCCCTACTCTTCCCGCAGGCGACCGCCACCCTAGCCGCCCGCCCTTGCGCAGGCGGCTCTGGCAGCTCACCGCTCGCGCCCGCTCCCCTCGGCGGCCTCGCCGGCTCACTAGCTCCTTTGCTGCTTCTTGCAGGGTCTGGGACCAGCCGAGCGCGCGCGGGAGTCGAGACGCCCGGCCCTTGCGCGCGACTGAGAGGAGGAGGGGACAGTCACGTGGGAAAGAGGCGTCCGAAAGGTGCAGGCTTTGATGGGCTGGGCTCGGCAGCGGCGGACATGCCTCCCGGTCCTCCCTGGCCTTCGCTGACCCTCCAGCCCCTCGGAAGGAGTCAGCCCCACCCCCAGCGGGGGCAGCCCACGCTGTCGCACACCCAGCCCGGGTTCACTCGCTGCTAGAAGCCGGGCAGATCTGAGCTTAATACCAAGTATAAGCCGGAAAGCGAGAATGGGCTTTGGCAATGGATGGATGGGTGGGTGGAGACCCTTCCTTTGCAGCAGGCGTATTTCATAGCATGCTTGATGACTTCCAGGAAAGCAAATGATTTATTATTGTTATGCTTAAAGAACAAAGAATTTAACAAGAGTAAATTGACACATCCTAGGCTGGAAAGGAATGGCAAGAACCAAATGAGTCATTCAGATCGGTTTACCTGCAGCATTCACAGCTTCCTCCTATACTGTATTGGAGAAATGGAAAAAGATGTGAAAGCAGCGAATGAACGTGAAAATCTCCTCACTTGTGAAACAAGGAACATCTCCAATGCCTGGGTTCTTCCTTGGACAGAAAGTGCTCAGGGAACTTTTCTCTCGCCCTACTCTCATGAGTTAACAATTTTCAAAGAGGATCTGGGGCGCTTTCAGATTGCAGCAACTCACTCTTCTGTGAGGCTTAGAATAACATGAAAGGCGGGGGAAGCACTCTTGTCCCCAGTTACACTAAAGGCACCACTCATGTTTCAATTTGTAATGCTGTAGTGGCTTGCACGTTACTGTAATGCTGGAAGCCATGCCATGGTATTTCAAATACCAGCAGAGTCACCTATATGGACAGGTTTCAGAGGAGCTTTCACACTAAAGCAGACTAGGAAGAAAGGCCTAGCAATCTGCTTAAAAGAATTATTATTGTTAGTCAGCTACGACTCATAGTAACCCTATGCACAACACAAGGAAACACTGCCTGGCCTTTGCCATCCTCTCAGTCCTTGCTATACCTGAGCTCATCTTATAGCCACTGTGCCAGTTCACCTCTTGAGGATCTTCTCCCTTTTTTGCTGACCCTCCAACTTACCAAGCATGATTTCCTTCTCCAGGGAATGGTCACTTCTGACAACATGACCATGGGAGATGAAGTCTGGCCATTCTTGCTTCCAAGGATCATTTGGGCAGCACTTCTTCCAGGACACATTTGTTCATTCTTCAGGCGGTCAATGGTATTTTCAGTATTCTTTGCCAACATCACAATTCAAAAGCATCAACTCTTCTTGGGTTTTTCTTATTCATTGTCCAGCTTTCACATGCATATGAAACAACTGAAAATACTATGGCTTGGGTCAGGCATGCCTTAGTTTTCAAAGTAACATCTCTGCTCTTCAACACTTTAAAGAATTCTTTTGCAGCAGATTTGCCCAGTGCAAAATGCGATGTCTGATTTCTTGACTGCTGCTTCTATGGGTATTGAGTATGGATCCAAGTAAAATGAAATCTTTAACAACTTCAATCTTTACTCCATTTATCATGATGCTGCTTATTCATCCAGATGTGAAGATTTTCATTTTCTTTATGTTGAGGTATAATCCATACTGCAGACTGTAGTCTTAATCTTCATCAGTAGGTGCTTCAAGTCATTCTCACTTTCAGCAAGCAAAGTTGTGTCATTTGCATTTTGCAGGTTGGTAATGAGTCTTCCTCCAATCCTGATACCGTATTCTTCTTCATATAGTCCAGCTTCTCAGATTATTTGCTCAGCATACACATTGAATAAGTATGGTGAAAGGATACAACTCTGGCACACTCCCTTCTTCATTTTAAACCATGCAATATCCCCTTCTTCTGTTTGAATGACAGCCTCCTGGTCCATGTACAGGTTCTTCATGAGCACAGTTAAGTGCTCTGGAATTCCCATTCTTCTCAACGTATCCATAATTTGTTATGATCCCCACAGTTGAATCCTCTTGCATCATCAATAAACACAAGTAAACAACCTTCTGGTATTCTTTGCTTTCAGCCAAGATCCATCTGACAACAACAATATCCCTTATTCTCTTTCAATATCTCTTATTTTCTTTGGATGCTTCCAAAAATGAGTCAGTGAAAACCCAATGGATCAACAGAATAATGTCTGATATAGTGCTGGAAGATGAGTCCCCTCGATTGAAAGGCACTACACAAAAACCACAACAAGTGACTCAAGCATATCATGAAGATGGTGCAGGACCAGGCAACATTTCATTGTTATACATGGAGTTGCCATGAGTTAGAATTGATTCAATAGCAATTAACAACAACAACAACATAATAATAAAGAAACATGTGTCTCCATCTCTCAGGGGCAAAGTTGGGAAGCTGGTAAATAAATATCTACAGTAGTTTTTCTTCCTCTGCTGGACCAGTTGTGGGCAGAGAGAGATAGACAGGACAAGATAATCAAGTTAGCCTCTTCTTAACCCCCTGGTTCCAATCAGAATGGACCTGATCCCAGGGTTACATCTGCTTTCCAAACCAAACACAGATGGCTATGCCACCCAGGACCCAGTCAGATGTCACTCAAGAAACAAATAGTTTTGAAGGGTTTATATCCCTATTTTAAATACTGTAGGACAAACATTAGTATCCCAAAACTGTTTTATACATATTCCTCTCTCACACTCTTCCCCAATTACCAAAATCTTTTCACAATACCTTCTCAAACTCATGATCTTCTTCAGCAAAATTTCCCTACTTTCAACTTCTCTGAACATTTCCTTAACATTTTCATTGTAACTGAAGTGTGCCTCTTACCCTTCTGTCCCTCTATCCCTTTCCTCACTCTACCCCTGGAAGTTGGCATGACTTAGATTATTTTCTTTATTTAGTGCCATGTTTTTTCACATTTTGTGTGCGTTTTTGTTTGTTTTTGTTTTTGTTTTTTTGGTGATTTCACCATGTAAAATGACCCCCAACCATAGTGCTGAAGTGCTGTCCAGTGTTCATAAGTTCAAGAAGGCCTTATGGAGAAAACACATGTGCTAGACAAGCTTTATTCAAGCATGAGTTTAGTGTCATTGGTCATGAGGTCAATGAACCAGGAATAACAATTGAATACGGTGTCTTTAATCTGAAACACACGTAAAAGAAGACTATATACTGATCAGTTGACAAAAACATTGTGACCAGAGTTTCTCAGAGACCTAACTTTGTATTTCTCCTAGGAATAATGATTCAGCATTCACTAATTCAGGGTTTGTAGTGACTGTCTAAGTGAACTAATTCAGGCTCATGCCTTTAAATACCACCTAAATACTCATAACGTTCAAATGTATGTCTTTAAACTTGATGTATCCCCTGAAATCTAGTCCATCAACTGCCTACTCAGTATTTCCACATGAATATCTAATGAGTATCTAAAATTTAACATATTCAAAACCAAAATCTTAATTTTCCCTGACAAACGTATTCCTACCTCAACTTCCCAGGCTCAGTCAATAATATATTTCCAGTTGTTTGGACCAGAAATCTTGTATTAATTCATATCTGTTCTTTTTTCTTTAAAACACTGTTGTAGATTGAATTAATTTCCCCAAAAAGACATGTTGAAGTCCTAATCCCCGCATTGGTGAATATGATCTTGTTTTGGGGAAATATGGCTTTTTCTTTATAATGTTATCAGTTACATTGATGAAAACATATCATAATAGGGTATATCCTGGTGGATCCTAATCTTAATGCCATTTGAATGACATCTTATAAAAGAGAACAGACATTGAAACACATAGATGGGAAAGAGAACATGAGAAGATCTGTCTAAAACCAAAAGAACATCAAGAAATGCCCAGGGTTGCCAGAAGCTGAAAGAGACAAGCAAGGATTTTTCCCTAGAGTGGACAAAGACTAAGAGAGAGTGAGTGCATAGCTTCACTGACACCCTGAATCCAGACTACCAGACTTCTTGTTGTTATGTGCCATCGAGTCGGACCCGACTTATAGCAACCCCTCCTTGGGTTTCCGAGGCAGTATCATTATGGAAGTAGATTGCCCAACTTTCCTTCCAATGAATGGCTGGTGGGTTCTAGAACTACACAAAAAATAAATGTCAGTTTGTCAAAGTTACCTACTTTGCGGTATTTTTGTTACAGTAGCCCTAGGAAACTTAGACTAACACCATAACTAATCTATCAATAAATTCTTGTGGTTCTCCTTACAAAGAATATCCAGAATCCAGCCACCCTATAACATCTGTAGACTTCTTCTTTGTACTCCCCAATCCCAAAACCAAACACACTGTTATCATGTTAATTCTGATTTACAGTGAGCCTATAGGACAGAGTCCACCACTCATCTGTCAGTTTGTCATACTGTGGTAGCTTATGTGTTGCTGTGAGGCTGGAGGCTAGCCACCAATATTTCAAATACCAGCAGGGTCACCTCAGCCATAGTGGACAGGTTTCAGCAGATCTTCCAGACTAAGACAGACTCAGAGGAAGGAAGTGGCCATCCACTTCTCAAAGAACTGTTGTTGTTGTTGTTGTTAAGTGCCGTCGAGTCGTTTTCGACTCATAGCGACCCCATGCACAGCAGAACGAAACACTGCCCGATCCCGCACCAGCCCCACAATCCCTGCTATACTCGA